TTCTGTGTGTGTGTATGTGTGTGTGTGTGTGTGTGTGTGTGTGTGTGTGTGTTTAATTCTTTTGCCCATCTATTGATGATGCAATTCACAATAGCCAAGTTTAGAACCAGCCCAGGTGACTCTAAACAGATGAATGAATAAAGAATATGCAGTATATATGTACCATAGTGTTTTACTCAGCCAAAAAGCAGAATGAGTTTATGGCATTTGCTGGTAAATGAATGGAACTAGAGAACATTATGCCAACTGAAACAGGCCAGACTCAGAAAGTCAAGGGTTGAATCTTTTCCTAAAAAGTGGAAGCTAGAGCAAAATTAGGGGAAACTGAGGGGACTCCATGAAAATAGAGGAAAGATCAGTGGAATAAAGGACAGAGATTGAAGGGGAGAGAAGAGGGACAGGAAAAGGGAGAAACTGAGGAATGAAATCAATCAAAATATGCTGTGTACTTATGTGACTATACCAGTGAATTTCACCTTTAACCTTTAAATCACCAATTTAAAAAAGAAGGAAGAACAATAGAGGTAGAGTAACAGGAGAAGGGAGGAAGGGAGGCAAAGAGGAAGCACTAGGGAATGAAATTTAAAAATTATATTTCATGCATGTATGATTATGTAAAAATAAACCTGATTATTATGAATAACTATGATGCACTAAAAAACATTTTCAAAAAGGAGAATACATTGCATTCTAAAATATGGCTTTTTAAAACAAATTCTTCTAGACACCTCTTTAGAAAGAGAAGAGTGATACAATGGAAGCTGAAAAGAACAACTATGAATAAAATTTCACCATATTTTCTTTCTTAACATAACTCTTTTAAAATAATGAGAAACAATCAAACAAATTTTAACAACTAGAAGAATTACTAACCAGGAAGCAGATCTATGGATTGACTCCTGTTGCCAGTCTGGTGGGAGACCAAGCAGGTCATGGTGGACAGATTGCCATCTGGATAATGGCACCTACTCCTGGTCGTCACTGTGCCATTGTCCTGGTATTCTTTCCCAGTGACACAATCCCCCTCCGGGGCCCAAAAAATCTGTGCAGCTGGCCTGCCTGCAATTGCTTTGCACTCCACAGTTCTGTTCTTCTCCAGAGACAGGGTCACTTCAGGGGGCACTGCAGAGATGGAAGGAAAATCATGCTTCAGTCTCAACATACGGTTATGGGATTACAGAGACACCTGTTTCAGTCACAAATCCAGTTAACCCAAAATATCACAGTAGACGTCATTCTTTACCTAACACTTGGAGGTGATATGTATGTTCAAAATTTCCTTCAAGTGTTCCCATTTCACACCTGTAATCCCCTTCATGTGAGATGGACACTGGATGGATCTGAAGTTCAGGATTCTGGTCAGGTCTGGAGGCCCAGGAGATTCTCCCATCAGTACAGTTGTTGTTCCCGGTCTGATTTGTTTCTCTGTTGAGGGAAATGGTGCACGAAGGCTTGTCTCTGAGGTGTATTTTCCATGTTGTTATTATCAACACTGATGTTGGTGGAATACGAGGGCAACAGAGCACAGCCTTTGTACCCATCTGCACAGACAGCCAAGTGTTATCTGGACACACACAAGGAGAATGAGAAAAGAAAACCTTGATAAAGAACTTTGTGTTTTCAATTTTTTTACAGAAGACTACATAAAGTTGTGCTAGAACCTTGCTTTCCTGTTGATCTTATTCCAGAAATATTAGACTTATACAATAAATTAACATTCACAAAATATATATAATATACTATACCAAATCCAAATGTTAATCAATTTCATTCAGTATTATGCATTATCATGGAAAGAAAATGCATTATAAATATGTTGGAATTAAATCAGAGTTTTGAAACCTGAAGACAGACTGACAGAAAAAAGAGTTCTAAATAAAATGACAATTTAGGACAAGTAATGTCCTAAATCTAATGTTTTAGTGGTGAGCAATGTTGGATTAGTCACACAATATATGCTCCTTGGGAAACAAAAGAAAACAGAATATTAGTTATGTGGTTGTCTCCCCTTGAAATTCGATAAATGCCAAAAAAAAAAAAAAACTGGTAGCATCAAAATTGAATATCTGTCCCTCATGGTAACATTTAAGATAAACATGCATCTAGAAAGTATATGATACTTTCATTAAAAGTAACTCAGATGGAATTCAGGTTGAACTAGTTGGAAACATTTTATATTTTTAGAGAATAACAGACTCAGCGAAATCAACAGATTTTAGTATAATCTGTTATTTCATCAGATTAGTGATTACATAAAAAAGAAAAATGACAATGCCTAGAGATGTCTACATATATTCACTTCAGGTAAAAAAGAAATGTGCTATGTAAATTAAGAAACAAAACCCAAAATTTGTTCTGCTTTGGAAATTTTCATAAAAAAGGATTTTTTTGCAAATGTGTGATATTTATCATAGACTTTGGATATTTTTTCTTCCTTCTTGTTTAGACCAACATATACCCATAGATAGATGAATGATGACCTGCGCTTATGTATTTTGTTTCAGTATGTTCAATCCAATTCTCAGAATTAAATATAACAGTTGACCCCTTGTGTCTATCTTTTAATGCAAAACTTGAGGCCTCTGACCTACAAATATCATCAAACATAGAATCTCACCTTCCCATAAAATAGCATATGCTGTCCATGACTGAGCATGGTTTACTGAGAGGCGATTACTCAACAATGCACCTGCCACAACTCACCTCTAACAAAGATGAGGTCCTTAATGTCATCACTGTAACACAGGCAGAGCAATTATAGTAGAGCAAACCTTTTATGTGAATGAAGCTTTCTTTCACTAAAATCTACCATTAATACCTGTCCTTTCCTGTTTTAGTATCACTCTCTCTTTTGTGTATACAAGTGCTTGCATTTCATGGTCAACCAAACATCACATAACTAGATGAAGAAAAAGATGGAACCTAAACTCAGTCCTGACAGGAAGTTAAACCCATGCTCTTCCCACCACTCTAGCTTGACAGAGGTGTAGCAGCAAATAAGACTGTGCCTTGTTTAGGGAGCAAGTAGTAGTAGGGTCATTTGGGGCACCCAACCACAACATTCAGATTACCATATTGAAAAGTTTGTCATAGGGCTGGCCTGCAGCCAGGCCATCAACCACTGTTTCTAAAAAAGTTCCACTCTCCATCCCCTTAGTGCTGGCCCTCCATAAGGAAGCATATTACCTTCCATAGGGGATAATGCCGTCTGCTGTCCATCCAAGCAAGAACTACTTGAATCTAGAGAGCATTTAAAGAAGAGTAAATGAAATCAATTTTATGTGCTCAAATAGACTAGAAGCCATTATTTCTCCATATTATCATTCAACATGAGAGACAATTGGTTAACCATCACTAACATATAATCATTGCAAAACAGAAATTAAAAATTATGGCATCTAGTAATAAAGTATGTTACTTGACAATTACTTGAAAATTATATTTGGAAAGTATTAATAAATGATTTCCTACTATAGGACCCCTCATTTTGTCATCCATTTTATACAAGGTAACCCTGTATCCCTTCTTCTACCCCCAACTCCTTCTCCAGCTAGGGGGATTGGTACAGTATGGGCATCTAACTGTATATGCCACCACCTAACTAAAGTTGTATGGTCCAGTGATGGGAACCTCACCTAGATGGAAAAGGAGAGCCTTTTCTCAAGGAATTTAGGATCAGAATTGAGAAGAATTCATTTATCTCTCTTCTGTCCCAAAGTTTTTTTTTAATTTAAAAAGGGAGGCAGTGATGCAAAGTCAGAAGGAGGAACAAAGTTGGAAGTCCTCACCTCCTTCAACTTTCTAACTTCACGGTTCCTAAGACCCTTGGGTGAGATGAATTCTTTTCTCATCAAAGTAGTCCTATACACTCTCAAATATGATTACTGAGAGCTTGCTTTATTGTGTTTAAAAAAAAAACAAGATGCAAGAGTGAGAAATTCAAATTATTTTGTTATTATGTGGTACTTGTATTAACCATGAAGCAAAATACTGTTTATGAAAGTATATTCAGGTTAGTCATAAATGCATATTGCAAATTCTAGGGCAACCATGAAAAGTAAAAATAGAAACATATTTGTTATACTAAGAAAGGAGACAAAACAGAATTATTAAAAATGCTCCACTGAAACCATAAAAGGCAGACAGAAGGGGAAAAAAAGGAAAGAGAGCAACAAAAGGAAAACAGTAGAAACTACAGCAGCTTGTAATCCAAATATATCAGGTCAGTTTGAAAATCAATGATCTAAACACACCAATTAAGAGAGAAATTCTTCACTATAGGTCAAACAGCAAGACCCAACTGTATTATATCTATACAAAATTCACATAAATATAAGGATCAATATAGTTTAAATGTACAAGGGAGGAAAAGAGTTACTATGATAATTCTAGTAAAAGAAAGTGTGAATAGTTACATTAATTTAGTTAGAAAAGATTTCAGAACAAGGAAAAGTATCAGAGCTAAAGACAGGCATTGTGTAAGGTTAAAGTGATCAATTCTCCAAGAAGACTTAATATTCTTAACACATACATACCTAACAACAGAGTGTCAAAATGTATGAAACTAAAACTGATATAATATTAAGAATAAATCAAAATGGACAGAACCAACAGGCATAAAATCAGAAAGGACACATATAACTGAACTCAATAATCCCATCAATCAACTCAGTATAACTGACCTCTCTAGACTACTTTCATCAACAAGGGGATACATATTCTGTTCTTAATAGTTTTTAAAATTAGTCTTGTGGATATACATGACAGTGAGATTCGCAGTGGTATATTGATACATGTACATAGGAAAATTAGGTCAGATTCATTTTACTGTACTTTTCTTATCCCACCCCTCCTCACCTCACATCATCTAGCAATCTACTTCCAGTCATATATCCAAAAGATCTGAAATACATATGTCATGTATATCTGCACTATTCTGTTAATTTCAGCATTATTCAAAATAGCTAAGATATGCAAATACTTAAATGTCCATCACTGGGGAAAGGACAAAACAAGTATAGATACATATATATTTTCCACTTCACACACACACATACAACAGAATAGCCTTTTAAAAAGAAGGAAATTTTGTCATTCATGACAACAAGAGATGGAAGTGCTAAGTGAAATTATTATGCTAAGTGAAATAAGTCAAATACAGGAAAACGAATACTATATTATCTCACTTTTTTTAAAGAGAGAGAGAAAAAACTTTTTTAATATTTATTTTTTAGTTTTCGGTGGACACAACATCTCATCTTTATTTTATTTTGTATGTGGTGCTGAAGATAGAACCCAGTGCCCCGCATGCCAGGTGAGCACGCTACCGCTTGAGCCACATCCCCAGCCCATGATCTCACTTTTATATAGAATCTAAAAAGGTAGATCTCATAGAAACAAAGAGTAAAAACGTGGTTACCAGACACTGGAGGTTTTGGGGAGGAACAGCAAAAAGTAAGGTGTTGGTCCAAGGATAAAAATTCTAATTAGACTGGAGGGATAAGTTTTAATGGTCTATTGTACTGCATGGTGACAACAGTTAGTGCATCACTGGAGTAAGAGACATCAGAAGCTGTGTGCCAGATAGTGCACAAATTTATCATTACAGGACAATTCAAAAAGCATCTTACAATTGAATCAAGAGAATCCTTGTCCCTATTTAAAGATGGTTTTATTTTCTTCTAAAAATGTCAAAATGTCACACTTACCAGGTACCATGATAATGATGGAGGTCAGTAACCTCAAAGCCAAAGTATTCTTCAAAGTATGCATTTAGAGTGGTGTTCTACTTAAACACAAATCCACTGTGAATCAATCTCTGGGCTCATTGAATCTCTCCCTTCTTGTCACTTGTGTGTACTCTCAGTTCAACAGGATTACATGTTATTTCTCCTTTTCATTTTGTTTATTGTTATCTTAATTTTCTTTCTGTATGATTTTCGCTGATTAGTCATGGGAAGGAAATACAATTAGTTTTGGTGAGTGATAACGGAAAAAAGCCAAGAATCATTGATTCTCCCATAGCACTAAAATAACAAAATTAATTACATAGCAATTTATGGGATAGGGAAAGTCAATGAAATGAATCTAGCCTGACTTTCCTACATTTGTATATGAATATACCACATTGTATCTCAACATCATGTACATCCATAAGACACTAGTTTAAAAAAATTATTAATTTATTTATTAAAGATAAAGGACATACCAATTTATTTTATTTTTAGTGATGCATTATAATTATACAAAGAGTGAGATTCTTTATATTTGTATATGCACATAGTATAATTGGTCAAATTTTATTTTAAAAGTAACATTATTAAAAGTATAAATTATATATGATAAAATGCACAGAGAGGTTACACCTTGGTGAACTTGTACATATATACATACACTCACATAAACATTTTCAAAATCAAGGTGGCTCTCATTTTGATTACTCAAAATTTCCTTTATGCTTTCTCACTATTCTGTTTTTTAATTCTTTATTTGTTCTTTTTTAGATATACATGACAGTATAATGTATTTTTATATATTATACATACATGCAGTATAACTTATTCT